AAAAAAGATTAGCATTTTTATTTTATTTGTGTGCAATTTATACAAGAATAATTATAGAATATTAAAGAATTGCGGGTTGGTATTATAAACCTGAATTTAAAATATGTGAGAGTGTCCGCCACTGGTTTATGAGTTAGTGAGCAAATGCCAAATGGAACATTTGGTTGAGGGTAACTGGTATATTTTAAAATGCAAAAAACAGCCGTTGATGGAAACTGGTCAACACCCGGTCTGTATGCCTATATAATATAATTAGAAAGTATTTTATGATAATATTGTAATTAAAGTAATTTATTATAGTATTATAGGTAGATTGCAATAATTTTTCCCTAAAAACTTGCATTTTAAAATGTAAAATATAATACAATTATAAAATATAAAAATATAAGTACATTAAATGTTTCAAGTATCATCACACAAATATTATTGTGAAAAAAATTGTACCTATGCAGCATTGCAGCCTAAGTAGGTATTTTCGTGTTTTTAAATTTTAACAACTTATGGAGGAGCTCGTATAAAATTGTCAAGCTTTTTAACCTACCAACATTTTGAGCTGTTGTCTTGAACAGCTAATAAAGTAATGTTACACTGCATGCACCCGGAATTTGTAAAGCCGTTTTCCGGGGCACCGATGTGGTTACACCTTTTTTTTTTGCGGTTACAAAATGTTAMATAATAAATAACATAATACCAAACAGTTTTCAAGTCGACATTTTGACCTAGGGGTGCCAGGGTAACACACCTCATATAACATTCAATATTTCTAGCAAAGGTTTATATAAAACAATTAAAACAAGATTTTTCATAAGTATTCTTCTAGCAGTAATTTAAAAATCCAAAAAATTCAAATGTAAAATTACTTTCTACGGATATTTCAAGCACAAATTATGCTTGAACCAAAMACATCGTTTTTAGTTTTTTTGCAGAAATACGAAAAATGTTAATTATAATGGAACTAAACACGATTAAATTAACGAAATATTTAAAAAATATTAAGATACTAACAAACGTATTCCAGACTCCAGACTAGTCCATGGTACCATCAACTATCAAAAACGTGTGATTAGATTTTCGTGGTATAGGTATCAATATATCATAATTCATAATACACTAATGTAAATATTCTGGAAATGTAATTGTGTTAAATGAATATTAATAAGTATACCACAATACCGATAAAATTCATACCCCTAAAGGCTAAAAACAATATTTTTGAATTACGACAAAATAACTAAAATTGTTATTTTTCACTTTAATTCCAATTTTATCAACATTAGAACTTCAAAAACTTATTGTAAAATATGTATATGCAGTATTTATTAAAAGATTTATCTATTGAAATTAAAAATGTTTAATGTTTTTTGTTTTTGTTTTAAGAGACTTGGTGAGCGCCATTAGTTTCGACAATTACAATAAACATAATATTTTATAAATATATAATAATCTACTAAATTAGAAAAACATTATTTTTTTTTTTTAATTTATATAATGAAACCAGCCAATATATTTAATCTAATCTTATCGTTTTATCATCGATATCGATATTAACTATATATAGCATGAAATAATATCTTAATAATTTTTATTATATAATAATACAAATTGAAAATCACTTCTAAACGTAAAATTGTTTATGGTTTTAATAAATATTTATATTTTACCATGGATTCCAATTTTTTTTACACTTCATAACACAAATTTTCAGTTGAAATCCAAACTTAAGAGCATTCTATTAATAAAATAAAGTCACTAATATAGATACATTACAGACTACAGTTGTCGATATTATTTTCAATCTTCAATTAACTTTTATTATTTTCATTGCTTAACAATAATAATATTTTTTTAAATTTTATATTTTACCACAAATATACCTATGTTAGCATGCAAAGAAAGGGCCAACACGATTTCTAGATTTTTAATTTTAAAATTACAGCTTTACGATAAAATTTAAAAATACAGTTTTCCTCTCTTTAAGTATACGATTATATGGTATTTATCTAGTATCAGTATTTAGTGGTAATCGGAAAAAAAATCCCCGGGAAAAAAATGTATTCGTATTTAGTAGTATCCATTATATAATTAGTGCCGGCTGTATGATTTGCGAGGCCCTGTGCAAATTATAAACGCGAGGCCTCGCACCTAAATCCAAATTATCATATTTCATTGRTAAATAAATAATTAAAATATTTTAATAATAAAACAGTCTTTTTTTTTAAATTTGTATTAAATATTTTATATTTTTATCACTGTCAATAGTTATTATAACATAATGTATAACATAGTCAATACTTCTATAGGTTTTAGAATAAAAAATACAAAAATTAAGCATATAAGTATATAATATAAGAATAGGTATAAGGTTTAAACGTAGATTTATGAATAATACAATATTATAAGTTATTAAAAAATACAAATAAATGTACCTGTATTTTTATACAACATAGCATGGCATTCCTAATTATTATTATATTACTATTGTTATGATGAAAAAAACCTAAAAATAAATTTTTTTCATGACTTTACTGTCATACCTAGTATTGTACCAAATAATATAGAGTGGGATATAGAGTGAAATAAATGGTGGTACCTATTGTTTTGTATAATACTATAAACATGGCCAAAAAAACAAATACAATATGTACTAGGTATACGTTTTAAGAATTAAGATAATACCCCGATAATGCACTTACAAGTATAATAAATAAAAAAAAAACATGAAAATTAAGACTGCACTAAGTATGCTGAATTACAACGAACACAATGAGAAATATARCTATAATATACTATAATATCGATTTATTACCTACCTGGATAACTTATACCTAGGTATATATACAAACAATTATACCCTAACATAACAAGAAAAAATTCAACGTTAACCTTGAGATTAACTAACCTACTAGTCCTTATATATTCGTTAAATGAGTGGTTATAATTTATAGGTAGGTACAATACTATGGGTATATTATATTGGCATATTGAATATTTGAGTACCTGTCAATTTTGTTCTACCAGTATATAATTTATTACAGAGTACTATTGAGAAAAAATCTACCAATTTATGAATTTACAACTTTAAAATGAAATACATAAATACCTACATATATTTGACACGCGGCTGCCTTTATTTCTCAGTAAATATAAAATGTGGATGTTTCTTATATGTCTAATATATCTTAAAAGTCCTATGCAGTAGGTAAAAAATACTTCATTTATTATTACAATAAAAGAATAGAACTTTTTACATTAGGACATAACATTTCTTCAGATTTCTTATGGCCGCATTTGTACCATAATATAACCAAAACGATTCTTAAGCGGTGACGGTGTATGAAACAGGATTTTTTATAATATTATATTAATACTATCAATACTTAATAGTAACAATAGACATGTTGAATTAGTTTTTGCTAAAACTACTGTATTTACATACCTATTTACCTATATAATATTATTATATTAAAATTACCAATTATTTTTTGGTCACAGTATGATCTATTTATCACCTTGTATTAAGTTTTAAAGTCATTGCTATACAAATCGAATATTTTAAACTAAAAAAAAATTCGTGATTTTGACGAATTCAACAAAATTTGATTTTTAAATGCGCATGAAAATATATTTTGACCATAATGTACCTACATTTGAAATATATATATATATTAAGTTAATTTATTTTCAAGAACCTATCTTGACTAAAATCGATTTTGTAGAATATTAGTTATGCGCGAAAATTCCCTTATTTGACTACACGTATTATGTACACGACTACAATTTACAACAGGTAAACAAACTGTAAACATAAAAATATTTATTTTAAATCGAAAATATCATCGAATTAAATCAACATAATTTTCATCTTTTCAAGTATCTACCACCTACGTCAACGTGTATGGTGTTGGCCTATATATAATAATATTATACTGCAAAACCACCATGTTACAGTCGAACAAAAAATATTATTGTTAGAATAATATAAGCACGCTGTACCTAGGTTGAGTATGGTAAGCCTTCTTGTTAACGTATCGTCTAATAATTTTTAAGCAGATCGTGCAGTTTCCACGAATATTGAAAAGTAAAAGAACTCATCTAGTCGTCTAATATTAGTATAATTAATTATATTATATTATACAAAGAAACTCAGTGCCAGGCCCTATTTTTATGTGCACTATGAATTTACATGTGACAAGTGTGCACTACGGTTTACAAAACAAAAATTGATTAATACCTATGCCAGCTACTAGGAAATATGATCTTTTCCTGAATTTTGTTCTTTTATATACCTAGCTCAAGAGTTTAAAGGCGCTAATCTCAGGAACTAATGGTACGAATATAAAATTATTTTATTATTGGACTGTAAATTTATCGTTAGGCTATAGGCTATATAAAATTTATAGAAAGTCCACAGGTGTAGTCGGAAATTAAGAATTTATAAGAAATTTATGAATTTTCACGGGCAACAGTTAGTATATATTATATATATGTATACATATATTATATATACGCTGAATGGGCATAACAACGTAGTCAATGTCTAACGGTGAAGAATAGTGGGCGAGACGTTTATTTAATTTTTTATTCTCCCCTCTCCCTGAAACTCATTGCGATAACGAGAAGCGCGAGCGGGGTGTTCTGCATCCCCCGTACAGGATATTTGTACAAAACCGTCACATTACTAGCGTGACCTTTAATGAAACCATAATATCAGTATTTAGCATACTCCCGACACCGTAGCTAAACATCATTACGGGGATACAAAACTGAAATATTTTTTAACGATTTCGCTGATCACGTCTGTCGATTTTTCCTAAAAAAAATCTTACATATTGGAAATCTGAGATGGGGGGAGGGTAATCAACAAACGAAATGTAGTTACTCATCCCGATAACGCTCTTGAGCCATACGATGAAATCGGTTATGAAACATAATAGGTATCAAATCAACAAATCTACAATAAATTCATAACATCAAAAATACGTATGGGGGGTCGTTCTTACCGCCGGTCAGTACGATTTTGTAGAGTTTCTTGATTTTGCCATCCATCACGAATATTTTTGTGACAACGAGACGAGATGACTGAACCGCGTGTTGAGTGTTAACTGCTGCTGAACGGAGGTTGTGGCGTGTGAACCATGTGACTTTTGTTGGTGGCGGAGGCGGCGGCGTCGATGGTGTCGTTCACTCGTCGTGTCCAAATTTGGAGGAGACCGTTCGCACAATGACGGAGGCAGCACACCGACGATATGAGCGAAACGACTGCTCGGATGGTTTTCCGACGGAATTCATTGCACGCGGCAGTTGTTGTTATTATTATTGTTTGTAGTTCGTATATTAWTAAAATTATTGTGATTATTGCCGTCGCGTGTTTGCGGGAACTATGCAAAATTGCTAGACATAGAGAGGGAGAAGAAAAAAACGAAAAGCTAAATAAAAATTACTTCCGCCGCAAAAACAGCGACCGGACTAGCGCTCGCGTGCGAATGTTGCGCGTCCTGGCTACAACCGACTGACGAGTGCGACCGCGTGTGCGCRTAAGCGTGTACGGGGGCGAGACGGAAAAATGAACGAGAGAACGACCAACGACCGCACTCGATTACGGTTCCTCGGGTGCTGCCGACTGCCGTGCTGGTGCTCACCGCCGAGTGCCGACAACTTTGACAGACAAGCCGCCTGCTGACTGCCTACTCCTGTCGATTTTATTTATCATTATTATTGCCTATCAGCCGCCATGGTTCCAGTTTATCATTTGATAAAACTGATAATATAATGTTCTGTGATACCACGGCTACTGTTATCTACAAGTTCTCCCCCCTCACAACAATGAAACGATGTCACGGTCATACCACATAATAGATAGTACATATAGCCATACACCGTATAAACTGATATGCCAACTCGGGACTCCCTCTACCTCTCTGCTATTAGGACTTGGTACTTTGGGAGCGTCTAAACACAGCAATGCACTTAACAGTACATAACAGTGGTATTTGTTGTCTCCGTCTTAACAGTGCGCATGAGTGTAATTTTTTTTACCACTATCGTTATGTTAGACTATTATCAATATATCATATCAAATCACTGTAGAACCACCTTAGAATGATCATATACAATACATAATATCATGTATATGATCTAAGAGTACCACAAAATAAATTGTAGTAGTACCACAATACCCATTAAATATTATATTATCTTTATCAGTAATAACTGATAATAATAGATTTTTCACGGCCTCGGACTATTAGGTCTGGCAACTCGTGAACTTATAAATTTATAATGTGCGTTTAGCGTGCGGTATGATAGAAACGCTACTAGAGATATATAATTTCTCTAATGTTCATGACAAAGCTGTTACAGATGATATCAGCTATATCAGTGCTGTAGTACATTAATAAATTAATAAATAAATCTGTGAACATAAAACATCATGGAAATGATTCCCAGGAATTCAATAACTTAAATTATCAACCACTAATACTATAGCCAATTCAAAGTCATAAGCATTAAAATAATGTCCAAATTGTTTTAACATATACATCTGACTAAAGTCCATTAATATTAAGTGTAAGTCTTTTAAAGTTCAATATATTTCCATCTACTCTACAAATATTTTATAGTAGAAATATTATTGTAAAATATCATGTATTAAGACATTCCTATGTGATTTTTTAGAAGTTTTTTATTCAAAATGTGTGTTTTTGCATTCTTAATTTGATGGCTCTTCTAAAAGTCAGTCAAACTTAATTTGAAAATTATGCTTAACAACTTCAAAATTTTAAATTTCTCCAAAATCGTGATTTTGAGATTAAAAATACCAAAGTTTTAATATCGTGGACGTTTTTTTTCATTTTTTTTATTTGTATTTATATGCTCAATATTTTAGTGAACTCAGAATTTACCTATTGTTCTAATTTCTTGTATTATTGTTAATAAACCACATAAAACTGAATTATAAATTCTAGGTTTGGTTATGGTTGATGTTAAAAAGTGATACATGTATTTGTAATTTTTTTATGTTTATATTATAAATTATAATTATGTACCTGTTTGTCCTGATACAAATTTGTCATCTCACGTTGCCAAAAATACAAACATCAACACTATCTTTAAAATAATTAAACTTATAATAAACTTTTTGTCAAATAAATTTATTTTTCATGAAACCTTATATCATTTATAAAATATTAAAAGTTTCAAATAGTGAACAATATAGTAATTGGCTTATACATGATTTTAAAATAGTACAAAAACAAAAAATGTTGATCACTTTTTAAATTTTTTAGTATTATTACTATTACTTTGTTTCATAATTCTTTTCTTTCCGTCAATTTCATTTCTTGCCTGATCCTGAAGTCTGGAAAAGAAATCTTTAGATGTTTTCATACTCTTGTCATCCACCGATTTTAACTGAAATCAATCATTAATACAAAATCATCATAAATACAAGATACTATTAACTAAGAATTTGTATTTCAGGCTTACTTCTTTAATTTGATGTCCACTACTTGTTAATCTTTTAAGTTCTTTTAGATTACCGTCTTTATTATGCTTAGGTTTAATCCCATTCTTTTCCATTTTCTTGAGGTTAGATTCCTTTGTAATACGTTTCTTGTGTTGCAAATGCTTTTTTTTTCGACGTTCACGTTTTTTGTCTGTGGTAGTGCGTTCTTCTTTGCCTAGAACTGGTGCTTTGAATTTTCCTAAAATGTGTTAGGTTAGGTTAAACTATAAATATTTATACAAGAAAACCAAGAATTAAATAAAAATAATATACAAACTTTGTATTTCTTCTGGTGCTAACAACATGGCATCAGTAGTAGAAATTGGAGCTACTTCTTCCATTGATATAGCTGGTAAATTATTGACAATTTTTAGATCAGGAATGGCCTAATAAAATATTGACATGCAACTTAATTATACACCTGTAGTATTAGTTGACATTATAAAGTCAGTCTCACGAGAGATAGGTATCATTTTGGGAATGTAGACTGAGTTCCACATCACTGCCAAACTATTAAATCCATCTACAACTTCTACAAGCAATCTACGTATATAAACAATATGTTTATTCACTAATCTGCCACTGTGCATGATTTAGCTCAGGTGTAAAGACATTGTGAGGTAAGGGAGACGCGTAAAAAAGACAAGAACTCATTGATACTTGATACCATTTTCTCGTGAAACAGACTAATACATATCATTCATTATAAAAGCAATTGTTGTGGGGCAAGACAATATAACTGGAAAATTATTTCAACTCATTTCATTGAAAAACTAAAAACCAATTTTTGTTAACTTGGTTTCACTTTGTTAAATAATAATAAAAAATAATTTAACCTGTTTAGGAGTATAATGATAGTTAGTAAGTGCGTCTAATTTTCTAAATAAATCTTTAATCATTAAATCAATTTCTTTATGCTCTTTTGGATCTTCTTCAGGTTTATTTTTATTTTCTGGATCAGCAGCTTCTCTTTGTTTAATGAATTCCTAAAATAATATAAATTTAGTTTAAAAAGCAAGTATTTAACACAAAACCCAACAAACTTTTTCATAAATTTGGGATAAGCTTTCTTTACTCTTCTCTTGGTTTAAAACCAATTGTTTTTTAAATTCTTGAGGTGTATTTGTTTGTTTTATTTTTCTTTCTACATCATCCCACGCTTTGTCCTTTATTCTTTGAAGAATGATGTCTTCCAATTTTACAGTAGTTTCTTCAGTAATAATTGGTGCTAAATATTATATTGATACATTGTTTTAATTAAATTGTTTAAAGCAAACAACCAATTTTATTTTATCAATCAATATATTTTACCTGGACGAGTACAGACATCAAATTCAACAGCTTCTTCTAAAAGAGAATTTTGAGGACGGTCTTTAGCTGCAACTTCACCTTTCAAAGCCCAAGGTTTGTTATCAGAAACAGCTTCTTCTTCCAATTTGGCAATACGTTTATTAATTCGTTCTGATCTCATTTCTAATGTTGACAAATTTTGTTTGTTGTCTTCATTAGGTTCATATATGTCTTCTTCTTCATTATTTTCACTTTTTTCATCGTTTATTACAAATCTTACACTTTTTTTTGATTTGCTTGTTTTTCCAGTAACATCTGTTTGCTTCTCAAAGAATTCTTGATACATAGGACCAAAATTATCTTCTTCCTGTAAATGTTATAAATTATAGATAGTATATTTTATTTCCAATCCATTCTTCATCAAATAATAATATAAAATCAGTTATCGTTTGAAATTATAATATTAAATTGAATGTGCAAACATTTTAAAGTAAAATAAACATAATATTTATTTATTACTTCATTTTCAGATTGCAAATCTTGAAACAAATCAACCTCGCCACCTAGAGATTTTGGTTTATCTTTAGTAGACTCCAGTTTTTCCTCTGATAATAAAAAGTTTTCCATTTCTGATAATTTGAAAAATTCATCATCCACTATTGACTTTTTAAATGCTAATAATTAAAAAAATCAATATATAATTAAAGATTTATCTTCTTAAAGCAGTATAAAATAAATATTAGAATTAAGTTGTTTGTCTGAAAGTCAATAATACTTGTGTTATAATTTTAATTAAGCTACACATAATATTATAAATGATATTTAAGGTTTAAATTATTACTTAATATTGATTAAAACTTAAAAGAAAAGACATTTTTTTTGTAAACATTTTTCTAGTTTTTAAAAGTTAATTATATCTATAATGGTTGACACAATTATAAACTTGGGGTTCCCAACCTATTTTTTCTTTTATACACATTCACAGTACACAAAGAAATAAATTCGTATTATTTTTTGATTAAAAAAACAGTTAACACTAAGTCATTCTGCCTAAATCAAATACATAAATAATTAACAGCATATTTATGTATAACTTTTAAATTTAAGCTTTTACCTTACACAATCTATACAAACTACACTTAATAAGACAAAAATTACATGGAATACTTTTGTGTTGCAGTACAGCAATCGGAAATCCCTGCACTACTTATTTAATTAAACAATGAAAATTAATCAAATATGTAAGAAAACAATGCTTAATATACAGCAACAATAATAAGAGTACTTTTAGTTGCTTTATTGAATTTTTGGAAAACAATTGGTCAAAAAATAAATTTAATATTAATATTATCCATTTATATTACTCAACATAAATAATATAACTGTTTTTATATTTACTTTTTTTAGTATTAAAAAGTTCTGTCTCTTCTAGGTCAGAAATATTATCCTCATCTTCACCTTCAACATAATCTATATCAGTTTCTTCGTCTTCATTATTGTCATCGTCTTCATCATTATTTTCTAAATCTTCAGAATCTTAAACAAATGTATGTTACATTATTTAAAAAAAAAATTCATTATGTCATAATTTGTTTGAAAATATAATACAGTTGACTCTTGATTATTTGCAGTGTTCCGTAGAATCATGTCCAGTACTTAAAATAGTGTTTATGTACAATATAACATATTATGCATTAGTAAAAATAAATGTAAATGTTAAATGTATGATATAAATTGTTTAATAATAATATCTAATTTTCATTGAATACTATTTAATATAGCATAAAATAATTTAATTGAATTATAATATGGTATTATTGTTTTAGTTTGTCTTTGGTGTGCCATACTATTCTGCAGGTAATCAAGAGTTTACTATATTATTATTTATATTAAAAACAAAGTTTAAATACATTTTAAATTATATTTTGTAATTTTGAACTAAGAAAACTATGTATTATATTTTAATTACCTTCAAATTCATCTGACTTTAATTCAGCGTTTTTTTTATTTAATTCTATAACAACAACAATTTAAAATTATGTTCATTTGTGAAATGATAAATTTAAAAATAATAATAATACTATTATTAGGTTACATTTATATCAGCAATAAAATTTAATATGTTCTCTAAAATAAATCATACTTATTAATAATTAAAAATTAATATAATTTTACTTATGGATACTAATGGATTACTTATACAATCATTTCAAGGTTATAACCATAATGAAAAATAAATGAAGTAATGAAAACAAGGAATAGTAGCAGGAAATATGAAACCTTTTTCATAAAAATATTCCAGATAATAAGGTTCAAAAATAAAAAAGTTTTGGACCATGTATCACAATAAATTATAATTATAATGGTATTCATGTTTATGTATCAAAATATTAAGAATTGGTAAAAACTAAATACCTACTTACTTTTGATTTTAGTTTTTTCATTAGTTGACTTTGTATCTTTCAAAATTTCTTTTGTATGTATATTATCTGCAATACAAATGTTAAATAGAGAAATATTTAAACGCAGATATATTAGAAAACTGTTTATTAGTTAAAATTTAACATTAGTTTAATAAGTGTAAAAAGGTGTAAAGTTTCTATGTTCTACTTACACCTTGATCACCCCATATACAATAGTTAATAAAAAATAAATATGATTTAACCCTAATATTAATTAAAAGATATGTACTAACCATTAGATTTATGAAGGTAAATTAAATCACTTCTTGTGAATCCCTGTATAGTATTGGCCAACAATTTTAATCGCGCTGAGTTTTGTAGTTCCAGCTCTTGCCATATTTGCTCTTCATCAAAATCCTTTACTATAAGCTCAGGCAGAGTGTCATCATTGGTATTGTCAGTTTTTGTTTCAACTCTCTTAGTAGTATCGTACAGTTGTTTCAACAAATTAGTTGTCTCTTCAGCAACATTAGTTTGCACACTAGAACAAAATGTACAGTAAATTCTTATTTAATACTTATAAAATAATGTCTTAAATTAAAAATTAAATAAAAAAATTAATCAATCTTACTCTAAATAATCTAATGGATTCACAGTTAACTTTTGAAATGTTGCAATGAAATCTATATTGGTCATTTTGAGATGAAAATTATAAATACAGTCAATTTAAATCATAAACCAAGAATCTCAGACAAGTCTTGTCATACTTATGTTTTCGTCTCAAACACGTGATTTTTATAATACTGATAGAAGTTATCACTTTCACAGTTTCACAATATTTATTATTTATATTTTATCACAGATTAAGATTGTCGGAAACCATAGATAATAAAAGAATTTATTTACTTTTATCACCGACTATATAGTCTGTGCTTTTATTATGTATCTACCCATAGACATAATATATATTAAACATGTAAACCATTGTAGGCTAATAAACATTTGTATTTGAAGCTTAGAGTAATACAACTTTTGATTTGAAGCCTTTAATTAATAAAAAAAAAATATATATTATATATTATGTCTATGTTTCTACCTATGTACTAGCCCCGACGGAAACACACCTTTATCATTTGAACGAGATATTATGTTACGAAAAGTTGATCTACTGTGGCGCTATCTAGTGTCTATTAGTCTTATATTATAAAATTGAATAAGCTGATGAAAAAATACATACAAAATGTGTATTTTAATATTTTATGCCATTAAATAAATTTAATTACTTATTAAAAATATTAAGTATCTTATTACAACATAAACTATTTTTTATATTTTTATTCACAACATTAACTTTATTATTGTTATATTTAGAAACTACATATGATTCCATAATTTATTTAATACAGGGTCAGCAGGTATAGAAAATAGAGTACATAGTACATTTTGTTGATATTCTGTCATGCAGTGGCGTGCAGTCGTGCAGAACATTTTTCAGACTTGAGGCAAACTATACAATTTGACACCCACCCTACAACCATTAGGTTTTTCACTTAAGAGGACGATACACCCGCATGTGTTGTCTCCGTCTTACAAGTGCGTAACATGGCAAAATCTGTTTGCGCGGGACAACTATTCTCCCTCAATATTTATAATAGAATTTTCAAAATTCCACAACGCATAGGTAAGAACTTTATCTGTGTCTTAGCGTCGTTATTTTTTTGATAGCACAAACCAATAATTTCAAGTAATTTAATGAAAAAATAAATGTATTTTCTTAAGCATATAACTTAAATTATATATTTATGTTATCAAAAAAATAACGACGCTATTACACGGAAAAAGTTCTTACCTATGCGTTGTGGAATTTTGAAAATTCTATTATAAATATTGAGGGAGAACAGTTGTCCCGCGCTAAACAGATTTTGCTATGTTATACGTTTGTAAGATGGAGACAACACATTCGGGTGTGGCGTCCTCTTATAAAAAATTGTATACATTTATATGATATTTAAAATGTATGATCAAACTAGTGCCCAGTTGCACACCTATAGTAACATTAGTAACCCATCCACCCACGCACCGACGCACCCGTATTTTCCCTCAGGCAGTTGCCTCAAAAAAATAGCTGTTCAGCATGCCATTGCTGTCATGAGTTCATGACTCTTATAATTTAATACTATAAGCACTTATAAAAACAATTTTAAAATATTTAAAGATATTCACAGCGCAATAATCTATCCAGCGATGTATACGATATACTGGGACCTGTTCTGCAATCACCAGAAATATTCGTTTATAATTATTTTTAAGTTATAAATTACTTATAATAATACAAAATTTTAAATTTTATAGCTAAATCTTGATAACTTAAATTTGAGTGAAATAAGATATTTAGACGAAAAATTGCAGTTGTTGCAGTTTAATATTTGTTATTGAGATTTGATATATAAATTTGTATAAATTTACATATACGTATTATTATAAGTAATTTATAACTTAAAAATAAGTGAAATAAGATATTTAGACGAAAAATTGCAGTTGTTGCAGTTTAATATTTGTTATTGAGATTTGATATATAAATTTGTATAAATTTACATATACCTATTATTATATTTTATTATACAGGGTGAATTTTTAAACATGCTCACCACAATTTTTCCCTTTAACGGTACATTTATTCAAATTCTGATTTTTGAATTTTTAAGAAGATATTAATGAAGGACAAATTTTCAAATTGATGATATTTTTTTGCACTCCTTAAGCCTCAAGAGCATCCTGTTGCGATCCCAACTTTTATTTGTCAAATGAGAACCCCAATTTTTACTGAAAATTATTTTGTGGCTAAATTTTACGCTGGGAACATAACATTTACAATAGTGAATTTGTAAATCATCAATTTTCTGATTAGAATTTATAATATTATAAAACCTATAATAGCCATACTATTTGTACAATTATATCGAATACGAATAAAACGAATTGATTGTTATAATTCCTTGTCGTAAAATATAGTAACAAGAAATTGTATATTCCCACAGAAATGTAAACATATAGGACGTAAGGACAGGTATCTGCGATTATTCCATAGATAATAGATATAAATTATTATACATAGTAATAAAAGAGGCGAAAGAAATTCAGATGAAGTTAACTATTCCTAAACGATCTTTTAAGAATTAAGATGGTTCATATGAAAATGTGTGAACTTTATTTAATTATATCTACCTTCAACCTACTCATTAATAATACATAATATGGTATTAAACATTAGTTTATAAACACCAAGACACACCTATAAAACGCCAAACGGCAATAAACGAAAATGTCTTATAGTATTGCTTTAACAAACGCGGTTGTATTCGACCTATTTAACGTCATGTTTATTGGATGGCTCGAACAAAACGTTCACGTTCCCGAAAAATTAAGCGGGTAAAATGATGAATGACAACGACTGAACCGTTGACCATATCAGCGACCAGCCCGTGTATCGCATCTTCGCATCAGACATCAGTTCAGAATTATTATTTTATTACGATTTGGATGATTTAGTTATTAAGTATATTTTACTCGATTTAAATACCTACTGATTTATGCATTATTTCATTATATTAAGTATTTATTGTTAACGATTTCTGCTTGAGTGACAGGGTTTGTTTTTTGCATTGATAATACATAACCTTATGTGTTATCTATGGGGTTTTTATATAAATAATAATAAAATGTAAAGAAATAATATACCATTTAAGATTCATCATGATGGACGAGAACAGAGATGACGACTATGACACTGACGATCTTGAAGAGGACGACACAGATGAAGCAAAATATGACATTAAACCATCTTTGAAAAGTGACGATATCTGCTGCTCAAATAAATGTTTATTTATGTTTGATGACAAATTTAAAACTCGTATTAAAAATGATCTGTCTCAGCTGAAAAGCTTTGAAAAGAACATTTACCTGTTCGCAATGATCTCTATTAACGAAAAAAAGATAAACGCCACAAAAGTCATCAAGTCTTCAAAATATTTCCAGTATGCAGTTAAGCATTATGGAGTTAATCGATCTGTGTGTAAAAGCGCTTTTGTCACCTTGCATGACACAACTCTATCGCTAGTACGAACATTGTGCATGAAAATGACTATAGGGCATATAATACCTACCGACGATCGTGGGAAACATAATAACAGATCGACCATACCTGACGAGACAAAAGTTGCGATCAAAGAGCATTTCTTTAGCATCTTGAAGTCTCCTAATGTGAGTTGAAATTTTGAAATCTGGCTAATTATTGATAGTTGATACCATTTTGAAATAATGTTAATATATTTTTTTGTTTTTTTTTTTTTTTTGTAATAGATTTTCAAATGTGCCAAGAAAAATCTAGGCCAACCTAATATTTCTCAGCTGTGGATTAGTTTTAAACAGGAACATGGTTAGTATGATAGAATGTACATTTTATACTGTTGAAAATTCCACAAAAATTTATTTTGCAATTACCTAAGTTTTCAGAGAAGAAATGTTGACATAATAAATACCATGTTTTAATTTTTATATCAATGTATACTTGTAGATATGAAAACTTACTGAAAGGCATTATCCCATCTTTATTTTACTTTTAGTTCTGGTTTTTTATTTACAGTAAATTAGAATTAATACCTAATTTTGTAATGAAATGTATTAAGTTTCAAGGAATCGAGCTCTCAATTCAGTGTACTGCATTATAACCAAGGCTAGCATTTGTATGCAACAGCATGTTTTTTTTGCGACTTTTGATTATTGATTTTGTCAGTAATGTCCACGAATCACCTCATGATAAGATGAATGGTGGTGTTTTTATTTTGCATATTTTGGATAAAATGCATATTAATGCATAAAATGAATATTATTGCATATTTCTATTATAAGAATTCGAAAAATGCATGTTTTATAGTATATTTTGTAATTAATATTTATAATTTAATATTAATATTT